GGGAGTCTGCTTCGCCCTCTGACCCTCGTCCCTCTCATGCTCTCTGTCTCTCATTGTCTCTCTCGCAAATAAATAAAATCTTTAAAAAAAATAAATAAATCAGGGATGGCTCCCTGAGGAAGTGACGAGAAGGAGCAAGCCAGAGGACAGGCGCCAGCCCTGCACAGGCCCTTGAAAAGGATGGACTGGCGGTGCTGGGAGCAGCGAGAGGGTCAAGGGGGCCAGAGCACTGAGTGGGAGGGGCGAGGCCGAGCGTGAGAAGAGGGCTGCGGGCAGGAGGAGAAGCTGTTTCCTGGCCCAGCTGCCCTCCTGGGTCCTGACCTCTGAGACTGAAGTCCACTGGCAGCAGGTGGCTGGTGGGGGACCAGAGAAAACACAGAGGGTGAGCTGGTGCTGGAAGGGGACTCTCAGGGCACCTGTGTGTCGAGCCTGCCAGGCTGGCCACCCTGGGCCCTTCTCTCGTGTTTCCAGGGAATGCCGTGAGGGTCAGATGGGGACATGCACTCTGTTACAGAAAACTCAGGGACCGAAAAGGCTGCCAACAGCTTCCCCAAACAGAGAACAGTGTGAGGAGCCTCGGAGGGAGACAAGGTGGGTGTCTGACAGCAAGCCACGGGCACCTGCCCCGACACGCACACGCACACACACACGCACGCACGCGCAGGCCATGTGGACTACCAGAGAGAAGGCTCACACGAGAGCAGAGCATCTGTGTATAAGAGACAGGGAGACTGAGGGAGAAGGGGAGGGTGAGAGGTGGGTGGGCAGTTAATTTCCCAGCCCTCCCCTCCCGAAGCTGCCACTTGACGGCATTCCACCCGGCTGCCGCGGCCTGGGTGCCTGGGCCCACCTGTCTGGGACAATGGACAATGGACGGTAGAAAGGTCTTGTCTGTAAGAGCCCCGCCTGCCTCCCCAGCCCTCCCCCCAGGCAGGCGGCCCTCCTCCGTGGAGCTGGACACCGCCCCCTCCCGGCCTCGTGCAGCTAGGGCCGAAAGGTCCAGCCTCTCTTCCCTGCCCTCCACCCCCCACCCCACCCACTGCCCACTCACCTGCTCGAGTGGCCAGCCCCACCAAGGTCAGGATGGCCCAGAAGCTGGCCCAGGACCCAGGCTTGGCAGAGCCCAAGCGAAGCATCTTTGTGCCCCGCCCCTGAGCTCCCTGGAGGGACAGTGAAGCCCAGACCACTGTGCTCACATCCCTCCTCCTTATATAGGATTCAGCACAAGGGGATGGCACCCCCCTTCCCGGCCAGCTTCCCTCCCCCCACCCTGCCTCTGCTGAGGATTGGTGGAAACTGGCCCCAGCTGTTGCCCAGGCAACCACTTAAGCCAGAGAGTGGCAGCCTGGGGCTATTGTGCTGCCCGCAGGCCCCCGAGGGGGACAGATCCGGCACCCTCCCCCACGTCTTCCACCACCCAGCAGAACTAGTCGTTTCTGTCCTGGGAGGATTTAGGCTCTCCACAGGGCAGGCCAGGGGCTCCAGGACCTCTGGCAGCTGCTGGCCCAGAGGGTCCCCAGTCCCCAGCCCCAGCCCCCTGGCCCAGTGTCCGTCCTGGCACAGAGCGCTCTTGGCAGCGTCTTGGCTAAAGTGCGATGGTGAGCAGGCTACAAAGGAAGGGTCTGGAAGAGGGGAGAGGAGGAGCAGCTCAGGCCCCCATCCCTCCCCTTCTTCCATTTTGGGGTGGGCTAGCTCTTCAGAGAGCAGGGCAAGGGTCTCGAATAGGGGCCCATGGGACAACTGGTATCATTTCCTCTTCCCTGTCGAGCATGTTCCTGGCCTGCTCTGGGGAGGGTGATGGGCCTTTAGGGAGGTCCCCTGGGGACCATGACCATCCTCCCCCAGGATCAAGGTCAACCAAGATGGCAGGGCTGGGCCCGGAGCAGTTACACACTGCACCGTGTCCCTCTGCGTGAGAGGCCCTCTGCCCAGAGCAGGGCTGGCCCCCTTGCAAGAGGCTGGCCCTCAGCAGACAGCCCACCCCCTGCCCAACCAGCACAAATCTGGGCTCGGACACTGGAGATGCTGAGGTGGGCACCTGTTTGCCCTGTCGCTTCCTTTACCTCGCCTTCCTGAGTGCCTCAGGTCTCTAGGCTTACCTCTTGGAAGGCTTCTTTTACCAGCTTCTAACTTCCAGATGTAATGTTTCCCTTCCCAGAGTTCCAAGGAGACACACAGCAGACCCGGCATCCCGCCTCAACTGCAGGAGAAATCGAGGCAGAGAGCTAGGTCACAGTCTCAGTTGGGTCAGTGCGGAGGAGTGCTCTTCTAAATCCAAATGAATAGAGAGAGGAGGGTGGGGTCTAGAGCCCAAGGGGAGTGGGTGGGTCCGTGTGTTCTGTTGAGGCCTCACCCTCTTGGGGAGCAAGTGGGGCCTGGCCCAGCTCTTCCTGGGACGGACTCTGCTTTAAGCTTGAACCGATGGACTGAGAGATCCAGCTCCGTTTCCCCCGAGGCTGGGTCCTTGACTCGGGATGGAGCCTGCCCTCCCTTGCTCTCTGGGTCCCAGGCACGAGCTCCATGCATTGATTTCTGCTGCTCTGGGCTGGCACAGACACACCACAGCTCCACCCCCTCTCCAGAGCTGCAGAGAGAGCAAGAATTGGGTCTGGCACCTGCCTCGTCCGGGTTGGCAGAGATGGAGCAATCCAGCGCAGCGGAAACCCCTCCCGGGTGCCCTGACCTTCACGCCTGGCTCCCCTCGTCCAGATCCACCATCCCTTGGCTGCCTGCCTGCCCTTCCCATGGACTGTACCACCTCCCCGGCCCGGACCAGCAAGACAGAGCCTCAGTGTGATGGGGTTCCGGGCCTCCGAGAGCACCCCTGTTTCCATGTGCAATGCTCTTCAGGAGGAGCGTTATCTGATGATAAAGAGACGTTGGTAAGAGAACCCACTTACTCAGAAACCCGGCTTTCCGTAAACTCTTTTCTTAACTCCAGCCTCCTTGGGGCTGTATCTGCTTTTCTAGAAGGTAGAGTCCATCTGTGTTGGAATCTCCCGTGCTCTACTTAGAAGCCAGGACACCAGTATTTTCTAAGCACGCTGGGTGATTGTCATGTACGCACAAGCTAAGATTTACCCCCCGGAGTAAGATGGATGCCATTCCGAGTGTGCAGGGATCGGGAGGCCCCAGATGACCAAGAAGACTCGGAAGGGTCGCCTCTGACCCCCCATCTCTGAGATGCCCCTCCTCCTACAATTGCTAACTTCGCTGTCCCTGAACCTCCTCTAACGATTTAGAAGCTGACTTTCCAGAAATGGGCATTCTCTTTTCTCGGTTTCTTAGTCTGAGAGTTGTTGGAGTGTGTGCGTGTGTGTGTGTGGTGTGTGGGGTGTGTGTGTGGTGTGTGGTGTGTGTGTGTGTGCATGCACATACGTGCATGAGTGTCGTGTGCGAGAGTCTTGGAGCAGGAGAGAGAAAGGAGGGCATTTGCCCTGCACGGCCGTTGAGATAGAGGATCTGAGACACTCCATTTTATTTTGCCCTGTGGATCTGGAAGCTCCATCATTCCTTGAGAGCAAGTCTGATGAGCTCACAAGCTAGAACAATTCCCAGAGAGGAGTGCTACTTCCTGCCTGAGACAAAGAGTGTTTATAACCTAAGTGACTTGTCTGAGCTCTCACGGCAGCCAGGATTCAAATGCCACTTTTCTGCTTGACTTTCTTCCCATGACCCTACACTGGGTCCCTACATGGGAAGCTATTTCAGACAGATATGATCCCCATTGGGCAAGGAATCTCTAGTGCTATAAAAGCCACTGAAAATTCTTGCAGGCTTGGGGCAGGATGGTTTTCTGCATCTGCAGAATGGGTGATGAGACGCTGGATGGGGGTAATACCCACCCCAGAGCGGTGGGTCCCCAGACCCAGCCCTACCTAGAGTGTGGACTCCCTTAGATCTGTAACATCTCCCTTCCTGAGCTAGGGTGCCTTCAGACACTTAGATTGGGGAATAGGGCATCCTGAGTTTAGGTTCCAGGCCAGTGTACTCGGCGGGGGGGGGGGCACACTAATAATAAACAAGAAGGAATCTTTCCCTGAAGGAAGTCACAGGCTACTGGAAGCTTCTGGGAAGCCAGGCTGCGCCGTCACAGTGGCAGATCCACTCTCCTGCCCCGGCACCCGCTACCGTGATATCCACCCCCCACAGCAATGCCCCTCCCTATCTGAGTGTTCTGTCTGACCCACATCCCCTTCCTCCCTAAAGCCTGAGCTCACAGTGGCCTCTTCCTGCCTGTGCACCTGTTCTTTGGGGGAAGGTTGTGTGAGGGGGTGACAAGTGAACAGCTCTGGGGTTCAAATTCCCATGCCACAGGGTGGCTCTGCGGCCCTAGCCTGGTTGCTGAACTTCTCTGAGCTTCCGTCCCCTCTTGTGTGAAATGGAGGTCACCAGAGTTAGCTTGTGGGGCTGCCTTGAGGGTGACAAGTGTAGGAACAAGAGTAAGAGCTCAGGAAATGTTGCCGGAGCCCCTCACACATGCTTGGTCTTTTCAACCTGACTCTAAGCAGCTCCTCGTTGCCCCATAGCCTCGTGGTGCAGGGAGGTGGTGTCCTCAGAAGCAGAATTATCTGTGCTTCTTGCATTCTCTGGGGCTGGGGTCCTGGAACACGGCCTGGGGATCTGAGTGGGTCGTGCCTGTTCTGGTCCTGCTCTACCCACCCAGAGGACCTGGCCAAAGCCCGTGGACTCCCTGGAGGCCTGCAGGGTCAGAACACGGCCATCAGGGGGCAGCAAGTCCTCTGTGATAGCCCAGGTGGGTGTGAAGGTGGGAGTGGGGCTGAGGGTCCCGGTAGCCCCAGCCCCAGATGTGGGATCTGTCTTAGGGAGCCCAGAAGCCAGCTCTGTTACATGCCCAGAGATGGGCATGGGAAGTGATTCCAGGCTGGACCTCGGCTCTCCTCCAGAGTCAGGCCACACGTTTGTCCCTGGTGCCCACTGTGGGCCACACTGGTCACGTCCCCAAGGGGGTGGGGGGAGTCAGTGGGCACAGATTCCAGTCTCTCCAGAGTGCCCACTGCGCCTGCAGCTGTTGATCTGCCAGTGACTAATATTCCCGGGCGGATGGTCCATTTCACCAAGGCTAGGAAAACAACAGCTCGTGGGGCCACTGGGTCTTGGATTCCCAGAGCTGCTGGTGGCCTGGTCAGGCTTGTCCGGGAGGTCACTGCCACCGCTGCGCCCGGCTGCCTGCCTTCCACCCCCACAGCCCCCCCGGGGAGCCTCCTTGTCCCACTGCCTGCCGCCGCTGCCTTCAAACCTGGCCCGTGCGGCCTCCCTCTAGATGTGAGCCCTGCCCGTGGCGGCCTCACCCCTGCCCTGCACTGGGTACCCCCTACTCCCCTTCTGCCCTCCTGTCTGACGCCACAGATGGGATCCTTCTGCCTTGTCCAGAAGTCCTCACCCTCAGGATGTAAATGCCCTGGCTGAGCCCAGGCCAGTCCCCAGAGTGCCCTGGAGCACAACGCAACCTATCCAGGGCCCCAGTCCAGTCCCCTCCTCCAGGCCTCCCTCTCAGCCTGACCCCTGCCTGTGCAGCCTCGGGGGATCCTGGTTTGCTCCAGGCAGCATCCACTGTGGAGATTCATTCCCCTGAGCCTCGGCCCCACCCTTTCCTTCCTCCTCCTCCCTCCTCCCACCACCCCACCTCTCTGCACTGACCGGCTCAGTCTCGACCGGCTCAGTCTCAGTGCTGCGGGAAGAATCGTAGGGCAAACCACCCCTTGGAGAGCTGGTGATGCTGGGAGGGAGCTGCAGGGACTCCCAGAAAAGCCACGAGGTGACCTACGACTCAGGACCCAGGAGCATGACGCTTGAGGGGCGGGAGGCAGGTAAAGTATCCAGAACAAGATGGGAGGGGAGAGGACAGTGGCAGGCAGGTGAGGGACAGGCGAGGAATCTAGAAGTTTGAAGCTGATCACCAGTGAGAGGTGGGCGGGGAAACTAGGCTTAGCTGGGATGGGG